ATGCTCCTTGTGGTTTCTAGCTTTTTGTAGTTTTAGATATATATCGCATCCCTTGTAGTTAGCTGGATGTGCTCCTCTGCACAGTCCACATGTTGCTGGGGTGTTGGGGTTCTTCCTGCACATAGTCGTGTTATGGTCGCCTCCACATTTTACACACATGAACGGTCTGGTGCAGTAAGTTTTCGTGTGGCCATAGTTCTGACATCTAGTGCACTGGGCAATGATGTTCTTTTTCCTTGGGGCTTCAACTGTTATTTATGTTGTATATGGTTTTATTATTTTCTTTGGGTTCTAGGTCCACAAAATGCATTGGAAGGGGCTCCTTGGTCGCACAGTGTCATATATTTGTCACATTGTGTACTGTATGGCCGTGTTTCACTATTTCCTGTTTAATAGTTTCCACTGGGATTGAGGGATGAAGACTTCGAATGACCACCCTGTAGGCCCTTTCTTCTCTGAGTTGGTAGGTGTGAAATACAATGTCCTGTTGGAGCAGTTTGATTAGTCTTCGATATGAGTCTGATGTGCTTATATTGACTCTTACTGTACCATTTGATAGTGTCTTGCAATAGTATTGCTCTTCTTTAACTGCTGTTGTAAGATATTCTACCATTTTATTGTAGTTAGTGACCCCGTAGATGAAAATTGGTGGTGGCTTATGGTTGATTGTTATATTTTCGGAGTTTGTTGGCGTTTTGTTAGTATGGTTAGATAGTGTGTCTACTTCTGAGGGCTGGGTGAACTTTTCAAACCTGTCTTGGGTTTTAATTTGGAAAGGGACTCTCACCTGTGTTACTTGCGGTGATGGTTAATTTCTTTTCCTCTTCTTTAGGACCTGCCAAGGCTGCTTATTTCTTGATTCCATTTCTGTTTCAGGCATTTCTTCGATGTCGTTTTCTGAATCCTCTTCAGTTGGAAGGAATTTACTGGTTGAATGTTGTAGTAGGTGTTGGTTGGTTTGTTGATGTATTTGTGGAATGTTGGTTGACTACGTTGGGTAGTTGGTTTGTTAAATTGACATCACATATTGGCTGGATTGCAGTATTTGCTGCACTGGTATTTGATTTTCAGGTGGTTGGTGAATTGTTTGCAGTGATGATTGTTGCATTATTTGTTGAGGGATCGTGTTGTAGCACTCTCCAGGGCTGCACCCATATATGGGTTGTGGTGACGGGAACATTTTTTTTCTTCTTTTTATGTTTGAGTATTGTCACTGGTACGATTGTCGTCGGCATTGACTGATCGCTTCACTATAAAATCACTTCTTTAAAATAAAGTCACTGATTTGACCTTTAGGCTTTAACTGATCACAACACAACACTGGCCCCATGTGGGCCCACACTTGATGACCCAGTCATCTATTTGCTGACTTAACAAGCTCAATACAAACACTGTTACACGGAACAACGGTCGATGCACGTCTGCTTCGCTTGGTGAGTAACGACAGAATCCCGTAAATTCGCTTGTAATATAATATGATTATATTCAGATTTTGAAGGGAAAGTACGTGTTAAAGTAATGTGTACTTTCAGTGTATGCTGCTTTTACAACAAACATCATGCGTCGTGTTATTTTTACCAATATTTTTGCTTAAAGCGAGGTATGATGATAGGAAGAGGTGGCAGATCACTGGCAGTTCTGACACTAAAAAGTCAATCACAACCTGTTTGAAGTTGGGCATGCCTGCTATACAGCATAATTTCACAAACTGGGATCTGCAGTGGTAATATTATTACTTCACTTGCCAGTTTTCCAATTGAAATCCATTACATCCATTTTTATTTGAATCAATTCACAATAAGCTTATACACACAAATGATGTAAAAGCAATCACTGCTCATGCACATTATAAGAGATCTTTTCGCAAGATCCCAACATTCGTTTAACTGAATAAAGGGTAAAAGGTAAAATCTTCCCTGTGCTTAACTAATTAAGCACTACACCATGAAGGCATGTGGGGGAGTGGATATATAGATCCACATTTTCTTGACCTCAGCATTAGCTGGAGGTGAGTTGTGTCAGGAGGTACAAAGGACAAAAAGTTTCAGAACTGTTGCTGTGTAACCCTTACTCCAGTTCTGACAATGATTTTGGTTCTTAAAACTATCTCCCCAAGTTATTGCCCTTTCTCCCCCCCCCTCACCACATTTGAAACATAGTCAGAAGAAAGAAACAAAATAATATGCCTAATGACAAAGTAACTTGTTATAAAAGTATAAATAATATATAAAGAACTTCACAGAATTGTATGATGATAATATACAAAATTTATGCAACAAAACTCTGCGCTGTGAGTTCTGATTTATTACTTCTGAAGGTTACAGTTTCATAACAACAGATATGATAGCATCATTTTTGTGAATGCAGCATTTGTTTGCCTGGAAGTCAGCTTTCCTACACAGTCTCTCCTCTTTACCATTTTAGATTTCCCTGGTTCCATTTCCATAAATCTTGAACAGAAGAATTTTGTTAATACTAATGAACTCTATGGATCAGAGTCCTTAAGAAGCTAACAGCTGATCCATTGTAAGTATGAAACCAAATTTAAAGCTATAATCATTTAACGTTTAACATGCAGCTGAACCCAAAATGAGGGGTGATATTCACCACATGCAACACCAGTCTATCCAGACTCCATCTCTGACCACTTCGTAAAGTTTCATTGGCTAATTCTCCAAGGTCCACTACTCTGGACTCAATTAGAGGCTTAACAGTGATTCCAAAGTCACGACTCAGCTTCCAAAGATCACTGGAAACAGATGAATATTTTCTGAAATTACTTAAATATCAAGGATCACACAGTTATTGCAGAGAGGTATTTTCATCTTGGCCAAAGTGAATATTAAAAAACATGCTGTAAATATATAACCAGGGTGTACTAGCTCATGGTTTGAAATGGTACAAAACAAACTTCAAATAATTTTTTTGTATTTGAATGTATACTGATAATTCCAAATGGCATGTTATGCAAAAACAAGAAAAAAATATACCTTAACTTTTATTTTTCCTTTAAAACTTACAGTTGCAGGATAAATGGAATTATTGCCACAATTTAGGGGTGTGACTGTAGACAGAGTATGGATTCCAACAGACCAGAAGACAAGAAGTCTCACGCAGACATAAATTACATAAATTATCAGGCTGCAGGAAAAGTGATTCTGAGAATTGCAGAAAGGTTTGTCCAACTAACGGTTTGTAAAGTTTGTGAAGGACAAACTATTGTATTTCAGAAGGTTAATGCACTAAAATCCGCACCGCCTCACCACCCCAAGCATTTCCAAGAATCCCTTTTGGAGGCGTAGTAAGAATGCAAGGAGGGTGGCAACTGACAGACAAAACTAGCTTGCAACCCCCAGCCACTGTCTAATGGGATTCTAGCAAACTTTCACTTTTATGACCTTTGAGACAAGATACACCTTCCTACTAGTCCGGTAGTCTCTTGTACATTGCCATTCAGTTCATTTTCACACAGCGACAGGAGCTGGTGTTACATCGTGATGAACGTATAAAGGTTATAATTAAACATTAAATTATAAACTACGAGTTTTCTTGTATATGTACAGTAACTTTTAAAGGGCAATGTCGCTTTCAAAAAATTCAAGTAGCAAGAAAAGAACGATTGAAAGTGAGCGCCGTGTTTTTCAATGAAAATGGAAATCTCTCATTTCTGTTGTGAAATAGAAGGTAAAATTACATGTTTGATTTGTGGGCAAAATATAAGTGTTCCACTTTAGGTAATTATATTGAAATTATTCCTAAATAATAAATAGAATTAAATTTCCTTGTATCAAAATCTAATGTATATTTCTACTCTGAAGTGCGGCCCTGGACTATTTTATATATAGGGCTGAGGTGGCCCTGTGAACAAGTTGAGTTTGACATGCCTGTTCTACTGTTATGGGCAGTTGCCTAGCGATGGCCCAGATATTGTTGGCGTGTTTACCAGCTGTTACCAAGCAACACATATTTCTTCTTGCAATCACTGCATAGCAACAGTACTGCACGCTACAATATTGAAATGAACTTTCCCTCTTTACAGAAATAGGTTTTCATAAGTCATATTCTTGTAAAATGTGAAACAACAAAGTGGCAGTCATGCAAAATCTGTATTAGGATTTCAGTTAGAACAAAGTAATCAATGAACCATTCCAACGAAAAATGAGAAATCTGGCATTCAGACAGATTAGCTAACCTAAAAATGTTGCATGAAATACTTCTTTGCATGTTATCTTGTTGATATATACAGTATATATCTTACTGATATATTGGGTTTTTGGACTTTATCCATCGTCCTGGTTTTTAAGATAACTAATAAAAACACGACACGTGAAGGAAAACACCTATTGAATAGGTGTTTTCCTTCACCTGAGGACAGAAACAGATCCAGTTTCCGAAACGTCGTGTTTTTATTAGTTATCTTAAAAACCAGGACGATGGATAAAGTCCAAAAACCCAATATATCAGTATGTTATACACCATCGTCAGAATCCTACAGTAACTACTAGTATACAGGGTGTCCCAGGAGGAATGGACCAAACTTCAGGAGGGTGTTCCTTATGTTAAAGTATGCTGATATAACCCAAAACACCTATGTCCGAAGTTGAACGGTTACGGAGATAATGGCCCAAGAAAAGTGTGGTCTTCTGGCAGGTCCACGCACTGTACCTCTCAGCTGAGAGGCCTTATCTATGTTTGTCCTTGAGTGCGATGATTCACCTTAGCCGTGCTTATGTAGTTGGTTTATACCAGAACGCGCAGTCAGCATGTTACGTCAGCGCTTTCCATTCATGTGTCATGTATAGTGCTTGGAAACCCTAAGGACAATTATGACATGGCGAGCGAGTATTTTATACTTCAATTTTATGGCTTCACGTCACTCACAAGTTAGTTTTATGTTACGTACATTATTAACATTACAGAATCCACATATTCCTGCCAGTTTTAATATGTATTTTGTAATCAACACGTGTGCAACGCCGGTCAAAGCTTCACACTTCTCTGGCCATTATCTCCGTAACCGTTCAACTTTGGACATAGGTGTTTTGGGTTATATCAGCATACTTTAACATAAGGAACACCCTCCTGAAGTTTGGTCCATTCCTCCTGGGACACCCTGTATATCTTAGTCAGCATGAAACCTCTTTTTCAATGCCTGCACATCGGGTGACTGGAGTCATTCATTTGTATAATTATTAATTAAATACCTGACAGATGATGTCTGTATAGTTGGCAGCATTTGATATAATGTCACAAGTTATGCTTGCTGCCTCCTTATCGCTGATGTTTCGCTTGGTACACTCTTTCACCCTGAAGATGGAGGTGATACATACCTTATAAGCATTGGTGGACTTCTGCTGAACTATGTGAAAATTGAACTCTTAGTTTCCAGAACTCTTGTATTAAAAGATGAGGCTTTGTCACAAAATTGAGGTACCAAAGATTTAAAATGTTCATTTTGCAGTTATTTATGCAATGTTTAATTTGATTTCCCAGGGGCTTTGTTAAATAAAATAAAATCATATGTATGTACTCTTCTTGCTGTTATCACAAAAATATCTATAAAACAGTCTCATTGTTGAAAATCTAGGTATATAGGTCAATCTCTGAGATTGAACTTAGGAACTTACTTTTTAATATTCACTCCAACTAATTTGAACTTTGGATGTTTAAGTAAATGTACAAATGCTTCAGGAAGACTTCTCATACAGCTAACCTGTTAATAAAAACAGTGTCTTATTCCACTAAGCCTTAAAGTTAAAAAAAATTCATTGTGTAACTATACAGTACAGATGATTAAATGGAATTTGAGGCTCTCACAGTGGTGGTTATGGAAAATTCTGTCTTCTGTGATCTAACGCCATGCAGTCCGTTGAAAGTCGACCTGTGTTTTGGAGGATCATGTTGCCTGCATCTTCAGGGTTGCTGCCAAACGAGAAACCAGCATGAAGCATGCAGCAAGACTTTCAACAGACCACACGGTGTTATATCCCAGAAGACAGAACCCTAGAGATCATTAATTTTAACATTACACTAACTACACTGGAGAAGAAATTTGTGGGAAAGTACACAGACTGTCACCTTTAAATTACTTACATAAAATCAGACACTGCTGTTCATTGCTGTAACATGTTTCAGTTTTGACCCGCATAATAAAATATTTCACTATGAATCATGTGAACTCTTTAGCATCTGTCTCTTGTCAAACAGTCAACTTTCATACAGTTAACTGTGTTTCTGGAGGACATTATCCATCATCCTGATTTTATTTAAAGCACATGTTTCAGAGACTGTATTCTCTGTCTCTGTCTTCAGGCGGAACCTACTCAGTTGGGCCCAATCAGTAGAGCTAGTTCCTCTCTCCAGAATCCAGTCTCCAAAACACTGCGTGTTTTAAATAAAAACAGGATCATGTATATTGTCTAGAAACACAGTATACCATCATCACAAACTTTTAGATCTTACTAAACTTTCAGACTTATTATTATATGAACTTTCATACATACAGTCGCAATATGAATTCGAAGTATACAGTTCCACGTTGAAAGTCTGAGGCCAAAGATGCTCCCTTGTTTTATATTTCCATGGCAAATTATAAATTCAGTTTGTGGAACTCAGTAGGTAGTGATTCTTAACCAATGAGTCACAAAGGATGACATGGATTGGGAGTTTGCACAAATGTTTCTCATAAAATGAGATGGCTTTTCTTGACCAAAGGGAATTTCATACAGTTTAAAAAAACTACTTGCTTGGGGGAAGGGAGGGCAGAAAATAAATATTAAAAAACACTGACTTAAATGTATTGACAGATGGGAAAAATAACTTTTTCATTGATATTGCAACATGACAAACATATAGTGATACATCTTATTTACAGAGGGAAATGTTAAGAAAGTACATCAACCAACCAGTCCATTGGCAGATGGTTCTTTGGGGTGGGGGCTGAAACCCCCTTTACTGGAATTACATTCCCACCCACATTTACTGATTCCTGCTGGTGAAGGAAAACTGGATGACCTAAATATGGCACTTAGTTTCGAACAAGTGATAATATTTTAATCAAAATTGTTTAATCCCTAAGTAGAAACTTTAATACATCTGCACTTCACAGACATGTAAACTGAATGTTTCTTGAGAAACACAACTAATTCAGAGCATACTGCATAATTTTAACCGGCACACACAGAGACACAAACTGTTTAGTGACTCCTACCAAACTATATAACACATGAATTATCTAGTGCTTGCCATCGTCCAGGACACTGAATGCTTAACATACCCCATGGTTGCCACTGCGTGGGTTAAAAAAGGTTATCTGCTATAGCCTTATATAACCAAATATATTCAAAATTCTCCTTACATGTATTCTCCAAACAGAAATTCAACTTTCAGGCAAGTAACTCACATGAAAGAGGTAGCAAGTTTGTTCTTCAGCACAGATTTGAATCAGAGCAGTTTTACCACTCCCAGTTTTAAAATGAACTGGCCATTCCATATCAAATCCAATCACCAATTCTTCTTGTGTTTCAACCTGTTTCCTGCATAAAATCAATAAATGCCTCTGTTATGAACTAACTATGGATTCTGTCGGTGATTTGGTTAATTGAAATCATGTAATTGTAATGAATGTAATTTATGTACCTTCTGTAAGTTTACATTCTTAATGATAAGATTTATTTCAGTGACATGAGGCCAGACTTTACAGACTTGATTGTCATTCAGTGGATCATGCAGTCAGGCCACAGTTTTAAGTCTCAGACTGCAGTTCTGCTGAACTTGCAGATTTTCCTTTATTTAAGGTCTGAACACCAAGTACAGTGCCTCTTCCCAAGACAGTGTACAGTCACAGAGCAAATAAAGCTTCTGCCACTACAAAGGCAGCTAGCTAGATAATTAGCCATCATGGACAGTGCTGGCCCATCTTGTCAGCTTGTGTTTACCTTTGATTATTAGGAACGAAGTATTTAATCCTTCTGAACTAGTCAATTTAATTATCCAAATTAAGAGATTAAATGGAGATGCAAAGATCTGGTGACTCAGGTTATAAATTTATATTATATTTTATTGTTTTTCTTAAAGGTTTATATTTGATTATTATTTGTGTCAGAATTAGTGTTAATAAATTAAATATTTGGGTAGAGTTAACAAACCCTGATACCATCTTTCCTGGCAGTTTAGTTGAGGAAGTGTTTACATCAGTGTTTCCCAACTAGTTGTGTCAAGTGAAAATAATGGTTCTGCAAGAAAATTCCATTACAGCCTATATAAGAAATAATTCAAAATATTATTATTGTAAAGTTCACTTAAAATAATTTTCATTTTGGCGCTTTTTTACATTAGAAATGGCACTTTCAAATTATATTAATAAGTTATTTGCCCCAAAGGAAAAAACTTCATCCAAATGTGCAATTTGCCAGCTGATACCCTTCACCTGCACATACTTCTATGAAACAAGATTCTGAAATTAAGCAGCAACAAAAACAATGCACACAAACATGTTAAGGAGAGCAACAGATATGAGAATTCAGTTTTCTGATAACAAGCCAAACATAAAAATAATTTGGGAAAAAGAAAACCATTCTTCATATCGAAAATTGTATGTTGCATATTTGTTTCCCAGCTTCATTTTTCATGTACATGAGATGTGATTTTTATTTCTAAATGTGTGTAATTAATTAATGTGTTAGTCTCATATCCTTGTTTAAAATGTATTATCATCCTTGTGGTCTAGTTTTTTAGCTTCATATATAGAAATTTCCACATACAAAAGGGTTCTGTGACCAAATTAAATTGGAAAACACTAGTTTAGACAATAAATGTATGATATGACTTCTGTGAGGTTCTCATACTGAAAAGCACTGGGAGGATCATTCCTCAGAGAGGCTGAGGCCAAACCTTAGATATAAAGATGTTCAAGAAACAGATCTGATCATGGAAGTGACTATCACTGGCACTTGGTAAGCAGGCATCATATGGAACTATAGGTTTACATGAATACTAACAAAGCAATATTTTCTCCATTTGGTAACAAGTCTTATATTATTCTTTTTCTAAAACATCTTTGAGTATATACCATATATTGAGTAAGCAACTTTCCCAGCCTGTATCTGGATCTATTTTTGAATTTTGAATTGAAGTACTGGTAATGCAATTTTGATTCCCTTATACACTGAACACAGAATCTACTAACTTTCTAATGATGACATAACGATTTTTACACCACTGATAATAATGTATAATCAAAACATTTAGGCATGTAAGTACAGGTATCCAGGAATTAGATTAAGCAAGGTACAGCTATAGCCAGTGTGTAATTCTATTTCTTCACAGGTTTGCACTGGAAGTTTTAATGGCTGTCAGTTGTTGTTAATGATTGTGCATGTGCAATTTGTGCTTAAAAATACCATGCAAGGAGATCTTCCTGTTTTCTTATGTGTTTATCTGTCTGTGATCTAGTGTCAGTAGTGCTCTCATTAAATTCTGGAAAATTTTTATCATTTTAATTCCTACCAAAGTATAAATTTCACTATATTACCAAGACAACTGCAAACAACATGTGGTGTTTACTTTAAAGTGAGGGCAACTCAGCTTTCCCATTCATTGTTTAATTCTTTCCTAGTCAACTGGTTTTGGAGGAGGGACTCAGATTCAAAAGAAATATATTTTATACATTAAAGACCAGAACAAACACTGTGTAATTGTAAAAAATGGTAGTTGTGGGCATTATTAAGGAAACATATTTCTAAAAATGTTTGAAATACTGTCTTCCCCTAAAATTTTAAATTCTGTAATTATACAAAATGGCTGTATACCCTGAACCTTGGCTAAAATGATCCCCCATATGTTCTATTAAAGAAACATTTGAAGGAGGGCAATAAAGAAATGCAGCCACATTACTTTAACCACTTTATCTGTCCTTATAATCTTTACACTCATATTGAGTATGTTCTACGTTAAAGAAAACTGGAAAAATACTATCACACATTAAACAGGGGTAATGAAACATCAGTTCTTGTCACAAAAAAGAGATGTATGGTAGATAACGATCCACTCTTTGTATGAGATTTAAACACACTAATACCCATACGCTCCACCACCTTATCGTGATGGAGGGGTTTGAGTGCTCCTGAGACCCTGAGAGTTATGCCGCTGGTAGTGTAGCTACTTGTATGGTCACCCATGCTGGACAGTTCAAGGTGTAGAGACCATACAAAGAGGCCTCCTGGTCCTCCAGGTTGGGGGTTAGGCATGAGGCTTACATCCTCACACCATAAAAACTAAATTGTTCAGAAACCAGACAATCAGCCTTGGATGGATGGATTGAAAAGAAATCAGGAAAGATGAAGAAAGAGGAAGAATGTAGGCAGATTATTCAGGAGGCCAAAGCTCACCTTACCCTGAGCTGTAGCGCCAAGAGGAAGGAATACCCATACGCTAATTCAAAAGC